ATAGCACCCTGGGGAACTCCACACGTGACATCCAAAGAATCCGAATAGACACAATCAACAACAACTCGCTGTCTACGGTTGGCTAAATATGAGCAAATCAGCGCCACCGCTCTTTCGTCCAAATCCATTGCCACAAGTATAGCCAAGAGTATTCTATGGGAAGCCATATCGAAGGTCCGCGTGAAATTCAGAAGTACAAGAGCCGTAAGTTTTCCCTTGTCCGTAGCCGAAACAATATCATCAATCACGCAAGTCAGAGCGGTGGCACATCCATATCCCGGTCTAAAACCTGACTGATAGCGAGGCAACAAGTTAAAAGTGTTAATATGGCGACGGAGCTGAGTCTCCAACAATTTCTCAATATAAATGAAGTCATTATTTTGGGCATGTTGCTGCAATAACCATTCACAAAATGCTAACCGTTGCTGATTATCTTCTGACTGTGGAGCTTGAATATTCTGTTTACAATACGAATGACGGACTTCGCGGTTCAATACGCGCCATGCAAAATTTTGACTTACATGTATATTGTGTGCTATTCTTCGAGTGCTGATGGAAAGATTATCAATGACAGCATTAATTAGAGCTCCTTCATCCTCTACATTAGCTACATGCGGTCGAATAGCTTTTGCTGGAGCAGGATTACCTGTTTCTCGAAGTCTTCTGAAAGAATCTTTCTTGATATTCTCGTACTGATTGTCCAGTATTTCCATTGCAAAAACCATACACGAAAATTTTATCAGCATACTCTTCAGTGCTATAAGCGTACATTTTGAGTTTCCCCTTGTATGTAATAATTAAACCTTACAGCAAACTGACATATTACAATGACAACTTTGTTTTTGTTGAATGTTTGATTTTACTGACTATTAATAAATTCGCTGCAGAAAACTTTAAAGTGATATAATTTCGTAAATAATTGAAATAGGACATAGTTCATTAAGATTTTTTTTTAGTAATTGGATTAGCTATCATATGTCAAAGTTTGATGGTGAGCTAATAAATCACCCTGTATTGTCAACTTTTAAAATGTTACTTCTATTTTCGTTCTGTAAGTTATAAAACAATTTCTATGTTAAATGAAGATTATAATTCAATTTTAAAAAGTTGTCACATAATCTATATGAGCATACATTCGGAGAAACACAAAATTAAAAAAATTCTTGTAAATCCACAAATTACGTTAGACATGACGATAAAAATAATAAAATAAATTTCTCTTTCTAGAGAAATTTACTAGATTAGTCACTTCTGCAGCCCTTTTTGTTTTAAAATCTCGTACAACCACGAATTTAGTTAAATGACTTGGTTGACTTGGTTACAGCATTACCTTGTGAAGGAGTATATTTGATACCAGACTCCGCATGGTGTTGCTTTTCTTTCTTTGCTATGTTAATCATTTCTTTTATCACCATAAAATCAAGAACATTTTAAAGCAAATTTGATGACGATTTAGTCTGCCATAAATAATTTCTTATTTTCCATAAACACCGTTGATATGATTCTTTAAATCCAAGTTGATATGTTTGATTCTTCTAAACATAAGAAAAGATATTAAAAATCGCATCCTAAATACTGATTGAGGTATCATCATGAAATAAATAGCAATTGAAAGTAGATTTACTTAGTATTTAATGTTTTGATGATTGAAAATGCAATTCGTTGAAAATGCAATTCGTCGTGACCCTAAAACTTTTTGGGGGTGTATACAGTCCAGGAGGGGCTCTTCTAGAATACCAGGTATTATGAAGTATAACAACCTGGAATACACTTCGGGCCAGTCAATTGTCGATGCTTTTGCTGAGTATTTCGGTAAAGTTTACATTGATTCGGATCCTAATAATATACCTAAACCTGGTTTAACTCTGCAGCGTACTCTTCAAATTGATGAAATCGATCTGGAAGAGGTTAACTCCGCGTTGAGACGTGCAAGGAATAAGATCACTGCCGGTATCAATGGTATCCCCGGTTTTCTCTTACGTGACTGCGCTGCCATTTTTGATTCTCCTCTCCATCATATTTTTAACTTAATTCTCAAGAAATCCGTGATGTCTAAACTGTGGAAGAAAGCCTACATCTGCCCAGTTCATAAAAAAGGCGATGTTACCAACATAGAAAACTATCGGCCTATTTCTTTGCTATGCAACTTCTCTAAGATATTTGAATCGATTTTATACAATTATATTTACGCATACATAAAACCTTATATAACGCAGTTCCAGCATGGATTTGTTAGAAATCGATCAACTGTTTCCAACTTGGCGTGCTTCACCCAGTTTATGTCTGATACTCTAGACAATAGAGGACAGGTTAATGTAATATATTTACACTTCCAGAAAGCGTTCGATCAACTGGACCACTGTATATTACTGCATAAATTGATAGGCATCGGATTTAGTGCACCCTTGATTTCCCTCATGGAGTCTTATCTGCGAAATAGAGAACAATATGTTAAGTATTTCAACCACAATTCCTTCTCGATTTGTCCTACGTCGGGAGTGCCTCAGGGTTCGAACTTGGGACTCCTTCTCTTTTTAATTTTTATCAACGACATTACGGATGCTATTGGTTGTGAGAGGTTGCTGTTTGCGGATGACCTTAAGATATTCACTTCGGTCAAGTCACTGACGGACTGTGCCGTTCTGCAGCGGGGTCTGAATAGTGTTGTTGAGTGGTGCGCGAGTAATCGTTTACCATTAAATGTGTCCAAGTGCGCGTCTATGTCATACACCAAATGTTCCAGAATACCTTCCCAGTCCAAATTGTAATAATTGTAAGGATTTTTCGACTGCCGGGCTACTTACCATTTTTTACGCTTTGATTCGCTCTCGCCTTGAGTATGCAGCATTGATTTGGCAACCCCACTATACGAGACATATAAACACTTTAGAACGTATACAAAGATTGTATTTAAAGTTTTTGTCGTTCCGTATCGATGGCATCTACCCAATAAGAGGTATTGATTACTGTAGTCAGTAGAATCTAATCTAATCTCTTATTCCAACTTTTTACTAAGCTCTCTTGATGACAATTGCCAGGTAGACGCCATATACACCGATTATAGCAAGGCGTTTGATAGAATTGATCATGGGATCCTTTTAACTAAACTTGCTAATTTTGACATTCCAACTGGTTTAATTTCCTGGATTTCATCTTTCATCTCCGGCAGATCGCAGGCTGTTAGCATAGGTAATTACCGCTCTGCATTTAGAGATATTTCTTCTGGCGTCGCTCAGGGTAGTCATCTGGGACCGCTTTTCTTTCTACTCTACATTAACGATATCCATCCATGTTTTCACCATTCAAATTTTCTACTTTACGCCGATGATAGCAAGATATTTAGCCGCATCTGTTCTACCGACGACTGTGCAAAACTGCAAGACGATTTAAACAGGTTACATGAATATTGTTTAAGAAATAACTTGTTCTTAAACCTTGATAAATGCAGTAAAATTACATTTACTCGTAAACGCTATCCTGTCGTCTTTGATTACTCCCTTGGCTCAACTATCCTCAGACAATCCGAATGCGTGAGAGACCTTGGAGTTATTTTTGACTCTAAACTCTCTTTTTCGGCTCATATTGACTATATTGTTAACAAGGCTTCTCGCATGCTGGGATTTATATGTCGCATATCCCGTCCTTTTTCTGATCTGTCTTGTATTCGTTCACTATATTCTGCCTTCGTTTCCTCTGTCCTTAACTACGCATCTGCCGTTTGGAACCCTCAATATCATACCTACATCAACCGCCTGGAACAAGTCCAGAAGCGTTTTGCTCGGTATTTGTCGTATAAATTTTGCTTACCGTATTGTAATTATACGCAGCGATGCACAGTTTTTGGTCTCATGCCGCTCTCTTCCAAACGTAAAATTAATGACTTAACCCTACTTTATAAAGTGTGCAATGGTCTTATTGACTGCTCCGCGATCTTGTCCGAGTTAAAATTTAGAATTCCTGTCCGACCGTCTCGCGACTTGTCTTTATTTTCGGTGCTTCGTACTAATACAAACGCCTTTTCAAATGCCGCGGTTCCACGCCTTATGTACACGAGGTTCGTTTAATTGCTATGGCTCAGGTTTTCAGGCTCACCCGTTTTGATATAATATCATTGTCAACCCGCAGAGTTGTGGTCGTGGTTAAATTTTTGTACAATCTGTTTCACAATTTCGTTGATTGCTCGCAGTTGCTTGCTAGACTTAATTTCACTGCACCTAGACTCAGTTAGACTCAGATCATCGCGGTTGTTTTATTGTGATTTCAATAGATCATTGGTATCCCAACGCTCGCCAGTTTCGTTAATGTGTAGCTACTTTAATTTAATATCGGGAGATTGTGACCTTTTTTCTGATTCGTGGCCGGGTATTAGGGATCTTGTTGTTACACACTTTGGGGTGTTTTAGGTAGGTTTAGTTGTTGCGCTGCACGTTTACATTTTGCATTTATTTTTGTATTATATACAGTGTATTTTTATTTTATTTTATTTTATTATTCATTTTTTATTGTATTTTTTGTTACGAATATTAATTTTGTTTTCCTGTAATTGGGTGGAGAACCTGTTGGGAATAAAGTTTATTATTATTATTATGATTGTTTTTTCAAATCATCAAATTTCAAACTTATGAATTTTTGAATTCAACCTTGCATAACCATAAACATTAATGTTAGGGTAATGTTGCACTTACGGTCGTTGATGTCAGGAGTTACCCTATCTCACTCTTTTGTGTAACTGACTAGCCAAGAAGGTGTATTTGATATTCGCTTTATGTGGCATAATTTTTCTGGTGGTCAAGTAGCATTTGCATATCAAACAAATACTTCAATGCAGTCCAATAAAATTTTTTAATTTGTTACTTTAATTCTTATTGTTAGATATTTAAATATTAAATAAAATATTAATTAATTTGGTAAACATCTATTAGAGATGATATTAACTAAAATTGCATTTCATTTCGATAAATTAACTTAAAAACACATTTCTCTTGTTGAATAATTTCTAGATCCTTTCGAATGGAATGAAACTCACATTAAATCCTGGTTGAGTTGGGCCACCGATAAATTCTCTTTAACACCAATCCCGGACGTTAGGAATTTCCCAAAATCCGGCCAGAAATTATGTGAATTAACCCGGAAAGAATTCGAGGACATCTGCAAAAATGAACGTTCGGGCCGATTATTAGCAAAACACATCGCCCATTTAAAGCACAGCGTTACCGGAAGAGCAACCAGTCCATTAAATACAAAAGCTAAAATTGAAGAAGAAGGTAAGAAAAATTTTATTTTATATCTATAATATTTAATAACAAAAAAGGGCCTTTAAAAAGTTTCTTATTGGGAGGTCGCGGTCCCTTTTATCCCCGCCCGTTAAACGTCGTTTCTTCGCCAAACCACCCCCTGAAAAGCCAAACCGGGGTAGTGACGGGAAAGAGGGGGTTTATTCGAGGTCTCTTGGCGCGAAATCCCACTTGAAATTCAAGGCGGGGCACGGTATAAAGGCGCAATATATAACTTCCTACCGTTCGCAGCTCCCAGTTCCTTCCTAGACACCAGCAAACTTCCGAACTTCACGGTAAAGGGGGCGGAAGGGGCTCGGAAACGCGATAAGTCCGCAATATTAATGATCTCTTCGTCGACAACGACGCCGCTCTTCTAACACCCGCCAGAAAATTATGAATGTTGTGATAAGTATTGCTCTTCTCTTAAACGACCACCGAAAGTCGTAATTGAAATATTATACGAATTACGTTTTCATTTATATACAGGGGGTGACCCTATAAAAAGGGTGAGATTTTTACACCCCTATAAAGTATCGTTTTGATTTGTTTTACTTATCAATTTTGACATAAAGTTTTTACTCACACACCAAAACAATTTACTTCATTTAATTGATTTAATTGATTTCTTGATAAGAAAATTGTTTGGTGATTCCCGGAAAAATCGTAATGGACAACGATTACCGGTCCGGAACGGTCAAGAATAGAAGCGAAACGATTCGAAAATGGGATTCGGACAGGAAGGGGTCTATTACCGGGGTGCGATATCTAACGATTGCGATAAGAAACAAAATAATGGCACAGAAATAAATAGGAAACCGTTTGAACGAGGCGAGTCCCCCGGTTTCTCGTTTGATAAAATCGAACCGACCGTTTAAGATAATAAATAGAAGTAACGAGGAATAAAATCGAAATCAAATCGATTTGCTTTTCGACTCAATCAGACTGTTGACTGTGGTGCTGGGGCAGTTAAAGGACTTCTTTCGAATTGTTTTAAGAAGCCATTTCAATGTTGAAAAGACTAGGAAGAAAATAAATGGTACAGCTGTTACGGGTAGATAATGAAACGAAAATTTCAGGATTTTCATAAAATTTTGATAATAAGTAAAAATCTAAACATGATGAAGAAAAGTTTTGGTTATAAAATATTTTCTAAATTATCCCAAAAATGATCGTTATTAACAAGTTTTAACCCAACCATAGTTAACAAATTTGATCATTTTTTTGTAAAATTTTGTTAATAATTAATAAAGCTAAGCAGAATGGGAAAATGTTTTGTTAACAAATAACATTGTAAGCTTACCAGGTAATTATTATCCATAAATAGTTTTAATCTGATATTATTATCAACTCTATTAATTTAATGAAACAAAAAAGCATGTGTTTGAAAGCAAAGTAACATAAATAAAAAAGGAAACAAAATAGAAAAAAGCTTTGATAACAAAAAATGTTCTAAATTTTCTCAAAAATGATCGTCATTAACAAGTTTTAATCCAACCCTCATTTTTACCAACTTACAAGACACTAATGATGTTGACCATTTTTTTGTCAAATTTTGTTAATAATTAATAAAACTAAGCAAAATGGGAAAATGTTTTGTTAACAAATAACATTCCAAGTTTACCAGATAATTATTATCTATAATTAGTTTTAATCTGATATTATTACCAACTCTCATAATTTAATGAAATAAAAAACCATGTGTTTGAAAGCAAAATAACTTATAAATAAAACAGAAAACAAAATAGAAAAAAGCTTTGATAACAAAAAATGTTCTAAATTATCTCAAAAATGATCGTCATTAACAAGTTTTAACCCAAGTTTTACTTACCATATTTGACGATTTTTTGTCAAATTTTGTTAATAATTAATAAAACTAAACAAATCGGAAAAGATTTTGGTAACAAAACGCATTCCTAATTTACCAAATAACTATCATTCATAATTAGTTTTAATCTGATATTATTACCAATTCTCTTATATTAATGAAATAGAAAAACATGTGTTTGAATGTAAAATAGCTTATAAATAAAAAAGGAAATAAATGTTAACCACAACCGTGACGTCATATCAAATCCTTTCGGTTTCTCAAACATGTCTTTCGTTTTACTGACGTAGGTAGAGATTTCGAAGCGTTTATCCAAGGTAATTTCGAGGTAGATGCAAGTTGGTAACCTATAATATGAGAAAGTTGGACTTTATTATAGGAGAATTAACACGAGTAGCGAAGGAGAAGAATGGGTGTTGAAAGGATTTATTAGGAAAACTGCATGTAGTCTTTGGACTGATGATGGAATGACATAGAGTAAAGCGTAGGATTTTAGATTAGAACATTAACATTCCCAAAAAAGATTTTATTGATAAAACCATCTTAGAAACACTTCTACCTTTTTATAGGATGGGATGTTCAATCTATCTAATTTGTGCAGAATTTCTGTATATCACTACGAATCGAAAATTCTTCGAACTGCAAGGAATACTATAAATTATTGAACAACTTCATAAGTGTGTCATAAAATTGGATATTTTTTTCAACCTTCAATGTTTCAAGATAGTTTTTGCTGACATGCGCCTAAGTGTTACTAAATGTTATCAATAAGAGGTGAAAAGAAACGCCTGAAGTAGCCTTATATTGAGTAGCCACAACAGACTGTTTCATCTAAAGTACATCGAGGTTGGTAAAACAAAACATACAAAATATCTCCAAGAGAACATGGTGCTCCTATACATCGAGCATCCATGGTACTACCTCATGCAGGTCGTCTTGTTTACATCGCATTGGAGAGTTTTACGATATCGTTACCTCTAAATACAACGAGTTGGTGAGTCAGCTACATTTTGCAGATATTTTTACTGCGGCTAGATGTTCTGCAAGAGAGTAACGATATCGTTTTGTATGATCATAGTATCAATAATAATCAAATGCTCCCGGATTTTTTGTAGTGATCCCTTACATTTTTCGTACATTTCAACTACGATTTTAACTGACGTTCTTTAACTCTTAACCGTTTGACTCCTAAGCAGCGCAATCGCGTTGATCAGATTTATCCTCTGGGACTTAAACGATTAAATCAACTTGTTACACTTCTTAGACAACTTATTAGACTTTCGACTCTTAGATCAGAATTTCTTGCAGGTCTTACACATCGTTGAGCTAGAATTTTTTTTTTCCTGAACATCTTTATGATTAAACTGGGCAATATTTTATAAGACCCCCCGATTCTTTTGTTGTTCATTCATTATTTGTTAGTCAGTGTGAAACTAACTTTAATTTCAAGTCAAATCCAGCAATATTTAATTGTTCTGATAAAATTTGCGTTCATAACCACAATTTGCCAATATCTTTGAAGGTGTTTAAGCAGATCATTGATAACTCACTATCTGGCCTTTGTCAGTTGAGATTTCATAAACATAACAGTATAGACAATGCTCTGGTAAATTGTGATTTACGTGCAGAACATAAAAACTTGTGTTGAAACCGATGAAAATTGTTTTTAACCCTTTTAAATCCTTTCTTTCTTGACCGTTTCTAAGATATTTTCTGATTTCTTCACATTGTGCAAAACGTAGGTGCTATCTTAAATTCTATTTTGACTATATGAATTTGCTCTAAATAAATACTACATGCTATTACTATAGTATGTAGTATTATTATACTATTACAAATATAGGTACTTATTTGTCGCGTTATTAATCTATTAGAAATTTTGTGTTATGTTGTTTTGGGTTTCTATGCTTCTTTCCGTGTCACTAATTCGCGGTTAAAAGTATTCCCATATCGCTTAACTAACTTATTTAAGCATGTGTCCCTTATTTTCATGTGTTAATTAACCTTCTATAGAGCAGTGATCTTTTGGAAATTGAGGATACGAAATCGTTTTATAAAAAATATATACATAATTTTTTATTTTCAAATATGCAACATTCGAGGAAAAGTACGTATTTCGTATCAATCCGGTGGAATACTACTATGGGTGGATTAAATGTGAATCCCCAAAGACATCAACTCAAATTAGACCTCAAATTTTACACATATGCAAAACGACGAATCTAGGTTTTGCATACTCTCAGTTCTTAAAGTTAATGATGTGATTGCTATTGATACAGCAAACATGTCTTCACAATTTTGCGGATGACAGATGACGTCAATGTTGGAAGCATTAATATCGATCAAATTAATAATGTTTCATCAATTTTGTTAATCGAATGCTAGGAAGCTTGAACTACTCTATTATCAAACATAATGTAATTTATTGATTTTCGGTGGTTAATATCCAGTGATTATTATATCTGGTGACATGTGACATTCCCAACTTATGGCGGTGGTACCAAGTGTACAGTAGGAAAAGGGTATTATTTACGTACTTGTTACGACGATATATGGGATAGATATTAGAAAGAAATGTGTGCTGATTGTGACGAATTTGAGGAATATTGGTTGTATTATTCTGTTCACAAGTGATCCACATTGAACATTAATAGACGTCCGAAATTATCTTTATATCTCTCTTAAAGATATAGCCAGTATTGTGTCCAGTTTCCTTCTTATCTTTGCAGTTTTTGTTCAGTTTCTTTCTAGCCTTCTAGTTCTTGATCTAGTTGCACTTTCGCTTTTATAGTCTATTTTTAGACATTCCTTTCTACTCAATCTCTTCCACCCGCTTTCGTCTTTTCAATGTTTTTTTTCTATAACTAGTCTGCTTCCAGTGTTTCACCGTTCTACTCAGACACTTATTTTCTCTTTCTAATCTTTGTTTAGTCAGTTTCCTCTACTACAAATGCCTTTCATGTTATTACAGCTTCTTTATAGCCTCCACTCAATTTCTTCAATATGTTATAAGTTTTTATTTTGACTCTCTGTTCAATATCTTTCTATTTATACCAGTTCTCTTCACGTCCTCCTTCAGTCTTCAGCATTTTCTCTACTTACTACTTTATCCCTTTCTTCTGTTAGTAGTTTCTGTTTAATCTTTTTCTTCTATTATCAGTATTTTTCTGATATTTCTCTTTCTTTTTGAATCCCTTTCTTTATTTTTCATACTCTAGCTACTCTCCCTGTTTTCTGTCCAGTCTCCTTTTTGCATTTCAACTTCCCGCCCATGTTTTTCTTGACTTTATGGTCTCTTTGTAGTCTTATGATTCTTGATATAGTTCAGCTATCGCCAAAGAGACTATAATCTTTATAGACGCCTCCATCTCTTAAGTCTCTTTTTTTCTTCTTTCTCTTGTCAGTGTCTTTCTTGTATAACAAGTCACTTTCCAGTGTCTCTACTTTCTACCCAGGTCTTACTTTTCTTTGTCTAGTGTCTGGTTAGTTTCTTTCTTCTATTATAAATCTCTAGTCTCTGCTCAGTCTCTTACATCTGTTGTAGAAGTCTCCTTGCTATGCATCTTTCTATTATTACCAGTCTCCTTCCAATCTTCATTCCGCGTTTAACATATTTCTTTTCTTTATAGATTCTCTCTAATTTCCCTCTTTGGTACTTAGTCTCTTTCTTTTCTTTGTTGCTTCTGTTTAATCTTTTATATTTAATCCTTTTCTTCACATTACATCCAGTCTTTCTCCTTTCTGCCCAGTCTCCTTTTAACCTCCTTATTGCCTCTACTTAGTCCCATTCATCTGTTATAAGTCTCCTTTTTGTACTTCTACTCTCTATTCTATAACTATCTTCTATTGTAATATATATTGTTTTTGTAATTTTTTTTTGTTTATTTTCTTTCTGATGTTATATATGTAAAGTATGTGGGTTGTGCCAATAAATATTATTATTATTATTATTATTATTACTTGTCTCTTTCCAGTTTCAGTCTATGTTCAGTTACATTCTTGGGTTGCACGTCTCTTTCCAATCATTTTCCTTTCTGTCTAATGCCTCTCTTATCTTTACAAGTTCTTTCTAGTCAATTTTTGTTTATCCTTATTCTTCTATTACTAGTACTTGATTTACATTTTTTCATTCAGCTTCTGTTTAACCGATATCTATTACCTGTTTATCCAACAACTATTTTGAAAATTGGGATTAATAGTACTTCAGACAAAAAATCGTCATAAATCGATTTTTAGGCAGTTCGTTCTCAAAACATAAAGTTTTATACTTTATTTATAATATCTTTAGTACTGTATAGTTAATCTTTTTGTTTTACCGTTTTTCTTAAATTGTTATGAATCTATTATTAAGATAATCGTTTTAAAAAAGTAATGATTCATAAAAAGAAAAGAAGAAGAAATGTCGAATATCTAAATCTAAACTTGAACTCTACCTCGTATCTTGGAGCTTAGCGAAGTCACGGGAGTCAAGCTCCGAGCTTTGTGGGGGTCGAGTGACAACGCATTAGACTTGTAGATGTGACCCCGCGGTGTCCATAATTCTCCGGGGTACGACCATGAATTCAACACTCAGAAAATCAACCCCCATCGATTTATTTTTATTTTTCTGAAATCGGCAATTTTTCCTTTCCGCAAAAAACTCTTTTTATCTTGATAGATTTTGATCTATTTTTGAAAGCGAGATTTGCGATTTCTTTCGATTCAGGTGATGTTGGTGTACTGCTTCAGGTAATCAAGAAAACAATATAACGGACCCCGCTGTGCTGTATAATGAGACGGGGTTGCTCGCGTTATTGGATGCAGAAGTGAGATCCGGGGATTATCCAGAATTTGGATGCGCCCTATATTAGCCACTAGGGGGGGTTGGGATTTAGAGATTTCGACTTGCTAAGTTATTTATTACCGCGTGTAATTAAATTTAAGTCAAGTGGATAAGTAAAATGAGTTTTAAATCAGTTAATTTAGATTATTTAAACAAAAGATTTTTAAAATTTATATATAAATCAATACACTATATTAAATAAAATATTTTTTTATATACATTTTTTACTGAAATGTATTAACTAAACACTTTTATTTACAAAACTAATCCATAAAATTGTCCTAAACTAAACTATTTATATATTCTTTTCAATTAAAATTTGGGTTTAACACAATGTGTAATACCACATTGACCATTGGGGTGGGGGGTTCGAAATTCTCTTGCGCAGCAACTCGAAAAGGGGTGTTCGAGATATCACGCCGTCATCACGCAGACGAAGTAAACTCACTGTAGATAAAGCAACAACCCTCTTACAAAATAAGAGATACTATTATGTTTGAATCAAAGTGAATCAAAAGTTTTAAAACAATTATAGAATTTTTGGAATTGAAATAAATTGAAATTTGAATTTTTTTTTGATAAAATTTTGTGAAAATGTTGTTAGTGTAGTTGGCAGCCATGTGGAGGCTGCCTGGATGTACTCCTGAAGAATTTCTTGTGGCCAGGCGGCTAGCTGCGAGAACACATCCGGCTCATCATAAATTTCATCATAGTTCTGCTATGATTTATAACGGTAACATCAAAAATATTAATTTTATATATATATATATGTATTAAGAAACTTAATAAAAGATAAAATCTTTAAAGAACGTAATATTCATTTCAATAAATCATTCGCAAATTAGAAATCTGAAAAATAACCTTTTCAATTCCAAGTAAAAAAAGTTTCTTTAACCTTCGAATATGACTTTCGTGTTGCCTCCTTTCTTCAAGGATTTCCGAGAAGAAGTGGAGTCATTTATTTTTGGCTAACGAAAAATATTTGATCGCCATCGTTGTTTCACTCACACACAGATCCGTATCAGCTGCTGAACGCCGCATCAAGCCGATTGGTCGCCCAAGGATCCGGTCAAATCCAGCTCTGGCAATTCCTCCTCGAACTACTCGGTGATTCGTCCAACTCTCAGTGTATTACTTGGGAAGGCACCAATGGTGAATTCAAGCTCACCGATCCGGACGAAGTTGCCAGACGATGGGGAGAGCGCAAGTCCAAACCGAATATGAATTATGATAAACTTTCAAGAGCATTAAGGTAATTTTTTACAAAAATTATTTTTCTGAAATTAGAAAGTAAAGTTAAAAAGTTTTGATTCTTTAACAGTCACTTGATAGAAAAGTTTTTGGCGTTTTAGTTTTTATATATTATAAGACATTAACACATCTTAACAAGAAATTTTGAAAAACTTCTTATTGACCTAGCAAAAACCTCACAATTTTCAGATCCACATAAATGATCCAGTTGTGCTCATGATATTTGAGTAAAGCAAAGATCATTTAATGCCATTATGTTTTTCTTGTAAATAATTAACTCCAATTGTTCCATAAACATTGCGATTAATTAGGCGGAAGGTTGCCTAATTTGGAACACTTGTCATTTTTGGATATATAAAAACATAATAACTTTTAGTAAAAATGAAGAAACTCAATCTCAATAAGAATAACATAGAAAGGAATAACGGTCGTTAGAATGTAGGAACTGTAGAAAATTCTTGGACAAATCGACCACTGCAAAGGGAATTAACCCTAGGATACTTGACCAATAAAATATCGTCATTTACATAATCCGGGCTTCTGAGACCCGTTATATAAAATCACGTGTAGTCAGAAAAGAAACAAAGTTTATTTATTTATATATATGTACGTTCCAAACGTGAGGTTAAATATGAAAGTGAACATTATTGTTAAAAAAACATTATTGTTTATTGTTTTTAGGGATTAGAGAAGCATTTGGTGCACATTCTAATACTATGCTCATTACAGATATTGTTTTTACAAGTAATACATATCATTGTGCTTTTACGATCAATACTTGCGGGACATACTGAGCATCTTTTTCTCTTAATTGTTGCACTTGTGTGAGCGGCTGGCGGACCACATATATCAATAAATCTGCTGATACACTCCCGGGCAGTACGCCGTAGGTTAGGGTTAGTAGATCTTCTCTGCATATGTGGTATCACTAGTTACTTCGCGAAATCTTTCAAAAACATTCTGCATTTGTGAGTCACTCCTATGTTGTTGTTTGGATGTTCTTTCGTAAAGACTATATATGCATTGAGTGCTGCAACATCAATGATGTTGAAGAAAAATGTCATGGGCCATCCTTTACTTTGCCTCTTGCACGTGTATGTCGACACCATTTGATCCATGATGTCAACACCGCCCTTTGTTTTATTATAATGAGAGATGATTTCAGGCTTCCTCTTAGCGTCGTCATTGATAGATACGTCGTGGTGCATGGTGCTTAGTAAAATTACTCATTTGTTCTTTTTACGTGCGGAACTTACCATGGATAAGTTATTATGAAAACAATAAAGAGTACACTACACGATGTTTTATGGCTTTCATTTCTTTCGGAATGTCACGCTTATTCTGACGTAGTGTACCCACAACAGTAATACTTTTATCCAAAAGATAAGTTGCTAGCGGAACACCAGTGAAGAAATTGTCTATCGTGAGATTGCGACCAGAATTATGAATGTCACGCACAAGAGTTTGTACTACTTCAAGTACCAGGTTTGTATGTGGAGGTTCTCCGGGCTGGCGACCAACATAAACTAAACCATCCAAAGCATAACCAGACGTAGATTCACACATCCAAAATATTTTAAGTCCATATTTTGACGGTTTACTTGGCATATATTGAACGAATGTGCATCTACCTCTAAACCCAACGAGTTGTTCATCAATAGTTACATTAGTATCAGGTATGACGCAGGTTTTGCATTGCTGAATGAATAAATCTCAAATATAGGACACCATTGCTAACTTATCGGTTTCCAAACGCGCATTCCGGGTTCTCTTGTTGTTAAATCTGTCGAATCTTCGTATTTCTTCAAAGCGAAATATAGACATTGTGGCTCGGTATACAGGATTGGCAAATTTATCACAAAACAATTCTCTCGCAGGAACATCCCAGCTTCTGTCAACCCCCGCATGAATAAGTAAATCACAGAATGCAAGAAATTCATCAACAGTTACATCTTTCCACGGTTTTCCTTTTGCGCCATAAACACGTTTGCCCTCTAAATTAGTACAGTTCACAATTTCTTGTACAATAACTGGAGTTACAAATAACTGAAACGCTTCTTTTGGTGTGGCAGTCATATGTTTCCTTGTTAGTCCTGGCGCACACCGAATAATGTTATGTGGTTGAATTTTATTTTTTGCTGGAGGTTCCAAACTTCATACTAGACCACTTGGAGCAATGTAACCGCTCGTTGAAGGCTTACCAATATCATCAACATCATCCTCTGAATTATCGTCACCATGATCAAAACTGGATCCAGAATACTCGTCAGGAACCAATTCGAAATTTCTATCTTCTGTGTCATCATTTTCTGCTTCTGACACATCACTTTCTCCAGAAGGCAGATCATCACATTCAGCTGCCCACTGCATCAATATTTCTTCATAACCGGGGTCACCAAATCTCACGCTTTCACATTCCTTTTTGGCGCCATTATCATATGTATCTCACAAGTTCACTCAATCCAACTTCTATTCCAACTGAATGAAAAACAGCTGCACCTACTTTTATACATCCAACAGTAATGCACGTTTTAACTTGCACAGACACGCACAATTCCGCGCAGCAGTGTTTGGCAAATTATAATAACCCTCAACCTGTAATGAACAAGTTGAAACTTGTTCTATAGTAACTAGTAGTATACGGGCTTCGGAGGCCCGATTTATGCAAATACGGGGTGCTAATGGCTAAACGATTTTTTTTCGATTGCTAATTACACTTGAATGTTTTTGAATCAAGTGTGTATTGAATAAAGACGTGTTTAGAGTAACTAAAATCTGGCCGGGCCTGAGAGGCCCAGTTTATGCATCCTAGGGTTAACAAAAAGGAATTCAATCTTTCGAGAAAAGTTGTAGGAAATGTGATACACATAAACGGAAAATATTTTTACACATCCATAACGACGTACCGAAATAAACATATGTCATTTTAAATGTAATGATATAGTTTTCATTACGTGTTCTTTTGAGAGTTTTTGAGCTAACACTGTACCCTTTAAATCTAAATTTCTTAGTGATTCAAAAGTATAACTAATGTCTTTCCACATTCAGTTGCAATAAAGTCGAAAATTTTAAATGGTTGTGTTTCTTGCTCATGAATTACACAAAAGACGAATTTGTGAATATGGTTTTTATTTTGGGAGAATCTCAAAGAAGCTTCTTGCTCAAAAAGTATACCGTGAAAGATACCCAATGGGGCCGTTACACATTTTTTTTTATTGGATAGTTTAGCAAAATTGAAAACTTCTAAAATTTCTTATTTTTCAAACTGGGCTTTAGTTTTTCCAAAAAAAAAATAATGAAAATTTGAAAAAACTTTGGAGACGTCATCGTCGTTTCGCACGCGGTTGGTTGAAATAAAAATCAATAAGAGGTGCATGAGCGAGATGCCACGAGAATCTTATGCGCTAGAATTATAGATGCTTTTATAGATGGGATTTTGAATTTTAATATTAATTTTTGCAAAAATTAAACAATTAAACTTTTTTAGGATCTGAAAATGTTATCAATCCTTTTTACATAGTTTATCGATTTTTTGAAAGACTGTCTTTCTATTCAATTGATGGTAACGGCCCCATTGCTTGAATTCCGAGCAGGCGATGTTTCGACAATTTATTACGTATATTTGAAAATACTGGAATTGTCGACTGTCGAATTGTTGTGCCAGAAGAAAACAACGAACAATATTTTATTAATTCTGCAAGAAGAATGCAAGAATATGCATATGTGTGAAAGCTCAGTAACCCGTATTTAATTTTCAATCTTTTTTCCATTTTCATGAATGCAAAATTTAGACTTAAATAAAAATCAATTCTTTTACTTGTTATTGTTGTTTTTATTTTAAAAATGTGCCTTAGATGTGTCAACTAAATAAAAGTAGTCATCTAGAGGCTCTCGTCAATACAATTAAATGTACAAACATATTAAAACCATTTAGATAAATTACATTTAAGCCAATTAATCCAAATTGGACTGACTAGCACCATCGAGGAATTGAACGAATTTATTATCACCTGGCTTGCCGACGTCTTTCCTACGAGAAAGACAAAATCTATTGGCAAACGAATTAACGCCGCCCGAAGCGGCCTTTAAAAAGGTTCAGGATCTTTACGACAAAAACGAAACTCAGCTAGTCGACATCATCCTCTCCGGTAAACTATTACTGGAGGATGAAGCCATCCCGAACATCGCGGATGTAGAGGTCCACTACGCCTCTCTGTTCTAGGCCGAGTCTGCACCCGACAACGAGCCCGTAGCAGACGACAAAACATCCGAAGACATTTACCTTTCCATTTCTGAGGCCGAAATAGAAATATCCATAAAGAACATGGTGAAATTCCGCGGACGGTCCTAATGGAATAACCGTCAACCAGGTGAAGAGGTGTCCACATCACAAACTTCAGTCTGGTAAGAGTCCCGGACAACATTGATACCTAAGTCCGGCGACAGAACCGATCCTTGAAGAAATTGGAGAACGATCACGATCTCATCTACAGTTCAGCGACTGTTCCATACAATCATCACCAAACGAATGCCCGGAGACGTTATCTCAACCCACGTCAACGAGGTTTAGTCAGCGACGATGGCTTTTTAGCAAATTTTATTACCGTTGACCACTACACACTAGAAAGTGGCACGAAAAATCCTATAACATCGTCTCTATAGACTTGGCAAAGGCCATCGCAAAGTTTCTCATGCCTCCGTAGAAAGGGCCTTAAACCGCCACCATATCCACTCATGGTGGAATATGTTATGAACAGCTTTGCGCGACTCACCACTACCATCCAAGTGAATGAACATGCCGCGAATGAACTAGACAACTGAAGATAAACCGTGGAGTTAAACAAGGCGATCCACTAAGCCCGTTCTTTTGCACTAGACAACCCGTGTCGCAGCTATCGGCTTTGCTGACAAACTGATCACCCTTGAAGACCGCGAGATAGACATGCCAAATATGCTCGACGACGTCGCTCAATTCCTCCGTCGTCGTGGAATGGTAATAAACGCCTCAAAAAGCGCCGCTATTTCTGCCACAACCATACAAGGCAAGAGCATAACACGAAGCAAAGACAGCCAACTTCTGTGTGCGCGGCGAACCCATTACAGCGATGAATGGTCTGTCATCTCTAAAGTATCTGGGTCATTAGGTCAAATACTTAGGCATCTTGAAGCCCTCTCTGTTCAATCTCCGTCAATGACTGGAACATTTATGACGGGAACCACTAAAACCTTAGCAGAAATACCACCTTCTGCGAGATCACTTTTGGGATGGAATTTTTAACAGTAAAATAGTTGGGCCGTTTTTTTTTTTGATGGTACGGGACAACTTTACAGACCATTTTTCGAAGAAGAGTTGCCAGAACTGCTTGGGAGACATAGGATTGGTCGTGGAGGTCCAATATTAATGCTTAATTATGTATTTTTTCAAATTTTAACAATAACCTATTGTTAAAATTTCAAATCATCCGTGATATTAGCTGTTATAAATTGAAAAATGTTGTTATTCTTATTTCATGGCTAACAAAGAAAAAAATAAACATAATCTGCCATTCTTTGCATGATTTTGATTATTGCTCAATATGTCAAAAACTGCAACTGATAGGTATAGGGACGTATACTGAAGAGAATTTAATTCTCTATCTGATTAGTTAATCAAATATGGTGTGGTTCCATATAAAATTGAGTGATTACATTTTTGAACGGCCATGTATACATACATATACAGTACGCATAAATAACCTCCTGTGTAATTTGAAAACGGTTTGAGATATTGTCATAAGCCGAAACACCTCGATTTTTATTTTTTGTTAATCCAACTAATTTAACAAAAAAATTCTTTATCATTTTTAGTTTTTCCGGAAAATGGATTAACTGTATAACATTTTCTGATAAAGCTAGAAAATACGAGTCCAATGATACACACAATCAAATCATTAAAAAAAACAAAGTTTACCTATTTTCGTTAACGTAAATTGTAACTAAATCTTTTGGTTCATCAATATTCATCTTTTGTCTAAATAATTTATTTCCTTCCTTACAAAAGAAGAAGTAATAAATGTAGTAACACAAGTACCCTCTTTGTAATAAAAATTATTGTGTAAAGCAAGTTTCCTATCAAATAGCGCAGGTACTTTGGCAGACTCTGAATATCATGGAAGTCCAATGGACGTTCCTCAATGTAACTGAACTCGACTGTGAACTCATTTCAGTCACTAAATTAAAATTAAGTCACTAAAAAAGTTCTTAAATTGAACTAAAACTAGAACTAACGGGAGACCTAGAACTAGAAACGTTCGGTTAGTGAAGTCTAATTAAGTCTAGTTAAACACTTTTTCAAAAGACGCGCTTAATCGGAAAGATTCTAATTCTAGGTTTCCTGTTAGTTCTAGCGATAATGGGTGCATCTGTCGCTATAATGGGGTCTCTAAAATTTTAATTTTGTATTGAACATATTATTCAATGTTGCTGGACGCTTTTTTAGTAAAATAACAGCTATGATAAAAATAAATTTGATCTACGACTGCTTGGATAAGTCATCATTACCACACTCATTTGAGAGGATTTGAGTTACGTAATGAACTTTATTACCGCACTGGTTTCATTACGTAATTTTTAGCTCAATCAGAACAGACATAATTTATTGAAACGAGCAACAATTTTTTGTTTTATTTAAAGAGAAACAATACTATTTATTATAAACATTAATTGTTATATTATTACATTTCGAAACACTTATTCCAGATGAGTCTGTGAGATGAGTAAACATGTTATTGAAACTGACATTAATGCAAAATTGTCAACAATCATTTCAAAAAAATTTTATAAATGTCAAAATAGACCTTTTTAAAGAAATTGATTTTTAAGTAATTTTTAGCAGTCGTAGATAAAATGTTGTATATCACACGTGGCCTAGAGCATAATTACAGTACTCGTGTGATAACAATTACAATTTTCCACACTTGTACAGTAATTATGTTTCTAGCCCACTTGTAATATAAAATCTAAATCTAAATGTCAAACTATACAGAATAAGAATATAGCTATACACTATATTCACGCTTGACTTGATCTGTCTGCACATTTAATAACCCGTCAAAACATCTACTCCATGTCTCTATCACTAGCTTCACATATAATAAGATTGCCCCCGTCATTCTTTATTGCAGCTCCACCTCTTGGTTTAAAGCCGTTTTTCATATTCTTTACCTCCTGGAAGAAGAGTCTAGTTCTGTTGTTTATTCTATTTGATTCTACATAGTTCTCCGAGAATATTCTTCTCGCGAGCCCTTTTTTTCGTTCTTATTGGAAAAACCGGATCACATAAGTGTTATTTTTCTCGAGTTTAATGGATCCCATTATTAATTGGATGATTTAACGAACTCTGAATCCATTTGTACTATTTTTGGCATAATACCTTTACGTGTGTAAACACGATAATTTAAAAACGCAATTAGCTCCGGTGTAAAAGTTGGCATATGTATATATAGAACCTTTTTCATATAAATTTGCACTTTAAACAAACATAAACGATTAATATGATGTAGTTCTTTCTATTTACCTTACTTTGAGCGTGGCTTGTATGACAGATTAATTAAATTAAAACAAATTTTATTCATTTTTTTCCGCATAATATTTTGTTTTTCGGGTTGATATTTTGTTTCTGCATATTTCCTCTGTTTTTATATTTTTTATAAAAATTTTATTTGTACCAGTTCATAATATTGTTTTTGCTTTATTATTACTATTTCGGCAAACAATAAGGATATTATTACCTCCGCATTCATATTGTGCCCATACATCTATACACATTTTACTGACCTGTTTGAACATGACATTGTATACATGGCCATTTGCTTTGCGCAGAAATTTTGTACATACTGTTTTATTTCTGTGTATGATATCATGCTTCTGCTTAAGACATTTTTTCTGCAAACAATCATTTTATTTTTTTATCAATTTTGTTTCTGAGTAGAATGTATTCTTCTGCGTTTGATTTAGATATTATCCGTTCGTGTCAGATACTCCTTCTACCCGTGAAGTTGTGTTTCTGCACATAACATTTTCTTCTTCACCTATTTGAGATATTATATCCGCTCATATGTAATGTCCAAACTTGACATTTACTTTCTAACAAAAAATACAGCTGTTGCGCGAAATATTTTACTTCTGATATCTAGCTTCGACACGTGATGTTTCCTTCTTAAAATGATCATGAATTGTATCAATCACATCAATGATATTCTGCTTATGACTTAGATGAAAGGAAGAAAAAATCGGTCATCACAGGCGTAATGGATATAATGAAAGCTGTTCTAAATGCCTTCGATAACAAAGAACATGTAGAACTTACCTGCTGTGATCTCAGTAAAGCGTTTGATACTGTGGATCACTCTATACTTCTCCAACAGTTATTCTATTATGGCGTCAGAGGTATCACCCATAAACTATTAACATCCTACTTGAAAGAGAGGCAGCAGTTGGTGGAGGTAAACATGGATAGATCCTTAACAAAGCGGCCAATGAACGGAGTACCACAGGGATCAATTTTGGGTCCACTACTGTTCATTATATATATATAAATGATTTGCCTTTCAATCTAACATCAGAGGTAACATATGTGTATGCCGATGATACGTCATTTATAACAACAGCAAAAACAGAGCAAGAAGTGAAAAGGTGCAGCGATAAAAACTTGGAAAGAGCAGAAATATGAAAACACAGTATTTAAAATTTGCGCCAAAAAATGATCCAACGGTGTGTAATATCAAGTACTTAGTTATGAATATAGATAACAAACTTACCTGGCAGTCACATATATCGAATTTAGCTTCCAAATTAGCCATTGCAATATATACTATCAGGAGAATGAAAATGGTCGCAACTCATGAAGCACCAAAGATAGCTTATTTTGCAAATTTAAAAAGTGTTGCAAGTTATGGAATACTGTTCTGGGGTATGGCATCGGACTCAGTTCGTATCTTCACCCTTAAAAAAAAAAGCAATCAGATCACTATGCAACCTAAAATCGTATGAAACCTGCAAAGATCACTTTAATACAGAATAAATACTTACCCTGCCTTGTATGAACATACTCACCTGTTTGAAATATGTGCATGAGAACAAAGAAAAATATGTGAAGAACAATCACACACATAATTTCGATACAAGAAACAAGAATGCTCTACAAGTACCATATCACAGGACCAACACAATCCAAAATTACGTGGACTATTGGGACCCAATATTGTATAACAAAATACCAAATTACCACGCCTTAGAGTCCAAACAATTTGCCAAAGAAGTGAAAAAACTATTAATTAACCACAGTTTCTATACCATAGTTCTTAAATTATAACAATGCATATTGAATTGTATACCTACCCTTTAATTATACCCTTACGTTTTGTATTTAAATCGTGCAACAAAACTTTGTGAAAAGGTTATGTATTCTTGCATTTCATTAGTTTTGAACATGTTATCTAGCAGTTTTCTTCAGTTTTTTAACATTTTCTTTTATTTTTCAGATATTATTACGATAAAAACATTATGTCCAAAGTCCATGGTAAAAGATATGCTTATAAATTTGATTTTCATGGCTTGATGGCTGCGTGTCAAGCTCAAGCTCAAGGTCAAACGGATATACCCGGTTATCAGAAATATCAGCCACATCAAAGTGAATTAGGAGCCGCTTTGTATCCAACAACAGGACATGGTCACGGAGCCGGAAAATTACCCGCTTTATTACCCAGTCCATCGCAACATGCACAAGCAAGTTTGTTTCCCCCACCAGGATATTGGCCATATTCAACTGGTTCTTTTGAAGCAAGACCTCCATTTAATTAAAAAAAATAAATAATATTCTAGATATTTGTGTTATTAAGATCATACAAAAAATGTAAAGAAAACGAGATGATCTGTAAATATTTATGTTTTTGATTTTTTTTGTAAATAATTTCTTAGTGGATGTATTTAAAAGAAAAAATGGTGAAGATTTTTTTTTGAATTAACTTATTATGTGTTTTAACATAAAAGGTTACTTGTAATAACTGTCACGTTATATTTTTCTTATTATTTGTTGTAATAAAAACGATTTAAACCTTATTTCAATTTAATTTAATAATTTAATATTATTTAAAAAATTTTTCTAAATGTGACGTTACAAATTTAAATTTGAAAGGAAGTAACGGGATATAAAAAAATTATTTACGTCCATGCACCAATTATTCAATAAAATTCTTAGCTTTACATTGAGCATTACACATCTTCATCTCTTTAATACGGTCGAAATGAATTCCTCTCGAAAGATTTTCGTGTTATTTTTAATAATATTTGGATTATTTCAATTGGTTTTTAGTCGTTTAACATCATCTGCAGCTTTACGTAAAAGTAAGTTATTCAAATTCTTTTTAGATAAGCGTTTGATTTTGAATAAAAAGTTTTTGTTTAAAATATAAGATGTTGGAAGAGTTCCATTATGGAACGCGACATTGGTGGATAAATTAAAACAAGATTTATTATTAAATTATGACAAATTTGCTCGACCAACTCCACACACAAATATAACGACCGTTAAGTTTGGTATGGAAATTAAAAATGTTGAGGTTAACGAGTTTAAATCAACTGTAACCATCGCTGGATGGACTAGATTGGTAAATATTAACAATTATACAGTTATTTTTTTATTGTTTATAGAGAGCAGAGCAAATTTTTTTACAACAGATGCAATTGTGTTATGCAACCGAATATACACCGGTAAAATCATTATCAATCTAAAAGATTGCTTAAAATTATAATTGAGTCATTGGAGTAAATGTTACAATGTGCAGTATGCTTTAACACAAAATCTTTTTACGGCGGGGGGAAAATTTAAAATTCTTTTTAATTTAAAAAATGCATTTTCATTAAAAAAATATATATAATCAAAGAAATATAAATAAACTTAAAAAAGACTGGAATAATCATAATCCATACTTCAGCAAAAATTTAAGAATTATACTGGTGAAAAACCAAACTTAAGGGAATAGTCGGGAATACTCTGGTCAGAAGGTTAATTTGCAAGAAAAAGTCTTAAATTGCAATAGTTATAAACTAGACTTCAGCAAAAAACAGGAATTACATTGTTCAAAGTCCACATGAAGTCTGAAATTACTGTTCAAAGAAAACAAAAAATTGATTATAAACCAAACATGATTTTTCGTGGCAATACTTATGTGTTCAATAAAAGAATGCGAAGAATATGAACATAAAACCAATGGACTTGTCTTGTTATTGCACAGGACAGGAAATCACCAATACAGAAACTTTGCCAATGCAGGATAAGCACAAAAGCAACATAACAGCTGCAGAAATGAGGTACCGGGTGGTACAAGATTCGTATAGATAATAAAAGGCTCTCAAAAAGATGATGATAGACACACAGAAAGAAGTACCTGTCAGTATCAAGAACAAAACATACATAACGTTGTCAGAAGACTAGATACTGCTTCTAAAAAACTAAATACTGCTTTCTGAAGACTAGATACTTCTCTGGAAGATTAAATACTGCTTTCTGAAGACTAGATACTGCTCTAGAAGATTAAATACTGCTTTCTGAAGAGTAGATACTGCCGACAGGTCTAAATACAGCATCTGGAACAATAAATACTGCTTTCTAAAGACTAAAATAGCTTTGTGGAGACTAAATACTGCTTTCTGAAGACTAGATACTGCTGATAGGTCTAAGTACTGCAAAAGAAAGATAAGATATTGTTGGAGAAAACATACATAACTTTGGCAGAAGACTAGATACTGCTTCTAGAAGACTAAAATTGCTTTGTGGAGAATAAATACTGTTTTCTGAAGACTAGCTACTGCTGACAAGTCTAAATACTGCAAAAGAAAGATAAGATATTGTAAGAGAAAACATTAAAAAGGCGCCGGCGCCCCCTTTTAGGCGGCGCCCGGGTGCGGTGCACCCCTTGCACCCCCTGGTAGTACCTCCTCTGCTGTCTCGGTATTGCAAAATTATTTCAATCCATTTCTAAATAAACTAGTTACTTAATTAACTCTTCCTCTTAGTCGGAATCTCGTATTCGAGAATCGTGCTTTCATAAGTTGCTCTCCAGAGAATTTCTTCATTCATCACTGTTTTCAGTCATGCCACCTTTTACCAACTACTATGTGAACACTTTTTACAAAATATAGACTTAGAACTTAGGATGCGGATTGGATGGTGGATTGCTCGCTCGTCTTTGGTGGAGTAGCGATTTTTACTAAAATTAACCGAAAATGCAGTATATTGGAAAATATAATTAAGCTTTCGGTTGTAGTTGATTGGGAGTTAGCGGCTGTGCGATGTGAGATTACCATGGCGGTCATTATTTGTATCTATAGATCCCCATCCGGCTGTTTTGTAAGCTTTAAAAATATTATTGGTATATTATTGGACGGGTTAAAGACAGTGATGAAGGAATAAAGTGGTTTGACAGCACATTGCGTCAGCTAAGAAAAAACTATGACCTGGCTTCAAATTTTTTTAACCGTTTTAAATCAGATAATTTTAGAGAAATGAAAGATAAGGCCAGATTGTCAAAGCTGCAAACTACATTATCGAACAGTCAAGAAAAATATGACTGAATAAATCTAAAGCAACTTGGTCGGTTATAAATTTTAATAGACCAAATGCAAACAAACAAAATACAGTGAATATAAACCCTGATATCCTTAACAATTTCTTTGTGAATGAGGCCAATAATATTATTTCTCGGCTTGGTCCTCTGGCTGTTTCTTCTTCGGACTTTAACGAGGTTCCTGCGTTTTCGTTTGCGCAGGTATCGGAATGTGAGATTAGAGGTCTCCTCCAGAGTTTAAAGTCTAGTGGGACTCGAGACATTTACGGTGTTCCAACAAAGGTGATTAAATGCAATATAAGCCTATTTGTGAAACCTTTAACTACATTGGTCAACAATATCTTCTTAACATTATCTTCTTACATATTGCCTGATGCGTTAAAGGTTGCGTCCGTTGTTCCTGTTTTCAAGCGAGGCGATAAAAATGACTGTTCCAATTATCGACCCATCAACATACTCCCAACACTATCCCAAATATTTGAACGTGTAATGTTCAGGCAAATAATGACACATGTTGAGTCAAACAATATGCTTCATGAAGACCAATTTGGTTTCCGCTATGGTCGGAGTACTAAGGATGCTGTTGAGAATTTCATGAACAATTTGTTATGATGCCTACGAAAAGCGGAAATTTTTGTGCGACGTTGTTTTTGGACCTGTCACGCGCCTTCGACAGCGTATCTCATGATATACTATTCTACAAACTTGAGCATGTGTTCCAATTTGTTCGAGATAGCGTTGCCTTAATAGGATCATACTTTTCGGGTAGATCCCAACAAGTTAAATACGGATACGCGTCTTCCTATTACAAGGGGCGTTCTTTAGGGATCAATTTTGAGATCCCTTTTGTTTATTCTCTTTTTTAATGACTTTCCAAGGTATTTGGGCGGGGATGTGATATGTTTGTTACATGCTGATGACGCAACGCTGCTGGTGAGTGGTGATGAGTATAAGGAAGTGTTGTCCTCTTCGAGTGGGTTGCTGATGGCAGCAAATGTGTGGTGTGTTGCCAATGACCTTTGCTGAAATAAAGAAAAGACAGTCCAATCACTGTTCAGTCTTAGACACCATCATCTAAACTTTAGATTTAGATGAGCCTTAGTTGAGATTTAGAGTCTAAAGGAACTTTCCTCCACAAAATTTCTGGGGTTAACACTGAGTTCTCCAAATTTGAATTTTGTGGCTTACGTGACCGAGATAGGGAAAAAGATAGCCCGAAACATTTTCTTATTGCGCAGATTGGTTGTTGCGGTGTCTGCCGAGGTCTGCTTGATTCACTCAATTATAAGTTATTGTATAATTGCTTGGGGGGAAGCACAGCTAGCTCCCACATATTTGGTCTACAGCGCAGAGCTTTGAGGGTCATTTCAAAGCTGAGCTATAGAGATGATTGCCGTCACGTTTTCAGACAGCTGAAAGTTTTGACAGTACCATCTGTGTTTATTTTGGGATGTCTTTTATACATTTACAATAACAGAAACAAATACCGTACGCGTGCTGACCTGCAGAATTATGAGACGCGAAACTGCGGAAATATTTATGTTTACCTTTGTCGACTGAGTGGAACGCAAAAAAGCTAAAGAGATACTGCTCAGGTCTTATATAAGAAATTGCTCTCGGAAATTAGAACACTCCGGAAAAATAAATTTTTAAATGTTATGAGGGAGTTTTTGCTAAGAAATGCGTTCTACACAGTCGATGAATATCTAAGTAGCAGTGTTACTATGTAATTTAAGTTTATAGTTAGTGCGTTGAATTGTACTGATTTTTGTATATGACGAGTGTAAGCCCTGGCATTGGCACAATAAAGTTTATTCTATTCTATTCTAAGGTAAGTCTTTCGTGGCCGTTTCTTCGCACTACGTCCAAAAATCTTGCAATACTTTCGGCAACCACGACTTGTTATCTTTTTTTGGTTTCAGTTGTTGTAATATTGACTCGTTAGTTTTCCTCTGTGTCCACGAAATTGTTAGTATTCTGGGCCAGCAAAACATCTCCAGGACATCGATTTTCTTTTTGTTCGTTGTTCTTAACGGCCAGCACTCTGATATGCAAAGAAAGAGAAAAGACCAGACTCCTTATCAGCCTCATTTTCGTTGTCAAGAGTTTCATCTGTTAATCCCTCCGCTGGAGTCTCCTTCGTTAGAGATTAGTGAGTCAAGGTAAAGGTAGATGAACGTATTGACTGTGTCGATATTACCCATCATACTTATTTCTGATCTGTTATCGTTCGCTGGGTCAATTATTATAATTTTAGTTTTCTTTTTGTTCGCGCTTAGACTGATTTCATTACTGCATTGCTCTACTCGCATGATGAGTAGAGTGATGAAGTCGTTAAGCTCCTCTTCTGATGCCGCAATCAGGGTGATATCATCAGCACCGGAGTTTATTAAGTTTTACGCCATCCATTGTTATTCCTCCATTCCACTCTTCTAAGGCTTACCTCATGGTTCACTCACCGTAGATGTTGAATAGAGCGAAACTGAGTATGCACCCTTGTATCAATTAAAACTAATTGGCAACCAAGTTGTTTTTGTCAAATCCGGGTCAAACAAGGCGGGACAAACAATTTAAACAATTTACAATTTACGCTTCATCAACCGATGAAGCGTTCCATTAACGGAGGAGGAAATTACCTACTGAATTCGCAGTCGCTTCAAGGAGGCTTCCCAAGGAAGACCTCATCTGCGAAGTGGCAGTGGGAAGGTGAGAGCGGAGAAAATTCGATAAAATATAGCGAGAGTACTTAAATCAGTAAAGCCACCATGCTCAATTTTTACAATCAACAAAAGAAGGGCACTATAGACGATCAGAGAAAACAGACATCATCGTCTTACCAGCAGACAAAGTGAATTCCATCATCATGGTCATGGGCTGTAAAGAATACGACAAGGTGACGACCCTTTTGGATTCAGCCACCTATAAGAAAAGCAAGAACGACCCGAGAAGATAATAAGAAAAATGATAAAATTCTAGCAGAACAACGGAAAAGTTTGTTTGTACAGGCCCCAGTACCACCAAGAACTTATGGATTACCTAATAGCCATAACTCGGATGTTCCGCTACGCCGTCTTATGGTGAGTGCCATAAATTCTCCAACGTATCATCTGGAAAACACCTTGCCAAGATGCTGTCTCCTTTTACAGGAAAAATAGAATCGGAAATCCTACACATTTAGGATATCTCAGAATATCCGGGTAATTTTCCTTGTGGAACATCAGTAAAAGTACCAGTGAGAGAAACCGTGGATGGTCTTTGCCAGAAGCTAACCCCGGAGGGCTACCGAAGTATGTATCAGGACTAGTGGAGTACTGTTTAACATCTACATATTTTTGCTGGAAAAAAGTATTCTATGAGCAATGAGAAGGAGCAGCTATGGGGTAATCTTTGTCACTAGTAATCGCTAATTTCTACATGGAGATATTTGCGTGGATGATACCTTTGTGATTCCTTAACCACTTGAATTCGCAACACCCCATGATCAAATTTACCATGAAAACGAAAGCTGCAAAATAATTACCACTTAGATCTTTTGGTTACTAGGATGACAAATAGGGGCATGGAACTGGTAGTGCGTCGGGAAAAGACACATATGAGCAGGTACTTCGTACCATCACCATTCACAACAGAATAGGTCACTAATCCAAGCCCAGTCCCAGTGACCGGAAAGGATATGGGACGAAAACCATATAAAGAAAGTATAATGATATCTAGAAGATATACTACAGATGAACGGCTATATTCTGAGGGATGCCACAGTTTGAGGGATATCCAGCAAGCCACCAAGCATTGCAAGCAGATGTTCGCACTTTGATCCATAACTATTCCAAGGAATCAGTAAATGCTATCGTCAACAACACAGGCCTAAGAGAAGATTGTACGTAAATTTCCACTCCTCCCCCATGAGTCGTCCTAGACTCATGCAAGAACGTAAAATTATCTATAGAAACTTGACTCAAATCAAAATTAGGACAAATCTAAGTTTCAGTAACTGCAAGAACACAAAAATTCTCACTTACTATAAAGTCCCTTACATCTGCACAATGACGAACCAGCGACCTGGTGTTCAAATGTCTCAACCTCATTAATTATTATCTAATTTGTATTATAGGTGCTTCTCAGGTGTGTTATAGAGTTTATAATCTAAAACGGAAAAGTTATCTTCGACTATCAGTAAAAAAAGAATCAAAATTATAAGAATAACAAGCTAAGAAATTGATTATCATAACTAATGATCAATGATAATCATAATCAATAACAACCAATTAACAATAAACAGTATTGCTATTAACTATCATACCAAAATCATTACTAAGATGCAAATCAATAACTAATACTAAGAAAGAAATAAACTGTAATCTTAAACAGAAAAAGAAATATCAATTATAGATACAATTACAAAATAAAATAATCATAATAAGTTTATCCCTAATAATCACTGAAAAATAAAAAACTAACTTGATCTCAAGGCAACTTCAACTCCTGATATACCAGGTCCAACGGATTCTAAATCTGTCTTTCCCTTGCATAATTCCAGGGACTCCAACTCCGCCAAAGTCCGAAGACTGTGCTTCCTTTTTCCGTCAGCAACATAAACCACACTATCATAGGTCCATACCATTTTTTTACCAAAAAACTTTACTGCTTGTTGAAAATTTGTATGACGAATCTTAGATAATTCTTCAGCCACAAAAAACTTGGTTCCTTTTAACCTCGAACGGTTGCACATAACTGCCCATTTATATTTTTATGCCGTAAATTTCACCAAAATAGCTCTATTCTTGAAATGAGGCTTCTCAAGTTGAAGGCAACGATCAATGTAATGTGATTTCAATTTAACATTTAAGTTATTTTCACAGAATTCACCCACTAACTGTTCAACATCTTCACCATCCTTCTCACAAATACCCATTATTCTAATACTGTTTCTTCTTGTATACTGTTCCAAATTATCAAATTTATCGCTTAATACTTTCTTCTTATCTTCTAACGAAGTTATTTTCGCTTTAAAGGTATCCAACATTTGGTCCAATTTTTTCTCAAGCCGGTTTTAAAACGTCCTCAGATTTTAAATATTCATTTAAGGTTTCTTTAATCAATCCTTTGATCTCATTAACCACTTCTCTTGTCATCGGCATGTTGGACTAATCTTTTATCAATTGTAAAGTTTAACACTCGAAACTGATGGAGCGAACTAAACACCTGTTACATCTTTCTCTCTCTCTCTTATGTATCTGTTATTAAATTTAAGTCTACTTATCTTCTTTTAATATTCAGTTAAAACAAACTTGTTTTCTAAAATTTTCTTTTATTAACTCCAAAAATGGCGCAAAAACTGACCGAAAAAGAAAGAATCACTATTTTAATGATTCGTGGCTTTGAGAATAGAACAAGAGCTTACGATAAAGTGCGGCACGTCTTCAATGATTTTTTCATCAATGATCACCGATTTCTAAATCAACAGTCGAAAGAAAACCTCATAATTCTTGAAAGAATTAAGATATCGGATTTTGGTTTGTGGGGTTGCTATTTAAAAATGTAGGGTTGGCCATCCCCTAAAAGAAACTTTGCATTGCATGGAAGTTCTAAACTATCTAAGAATGTAGTTTTTACTACATTTAGTCTGTTCAAAACTTATAGCTCTGTCTTCGGAGTTTTGGGAAAGCCCTGTATTTTTAAAACGCAACCAAACATGCAACATCAAAAAAGATTTTTTTAATTCTAAAATATTTATATGTTGTTAGGTTTGGACCGATGATAAATTAAAATGGCAAGCAGAAAATTACGATGGTGTTGATATGTTTCATGTTGCACCACATGAAGTTTGGCAACCAGATTTAGTTTTACAAAACAGGTTTACCATTTTTTTTCTATAATACAGTAAGAAGATAATATTTATTGTTTTAATCATTATTTTAGCGCTACAACAACAGCAATAGCTCAAGAAAGTACAAATCTATTAGTTTTCAAAAACGGAGAAATTCTTTGGGTCCCAACAACTACGTTTCCAGTACTTTGCGATTTTAATCTTAAAATGTGGCCGTTTGATCAACACCGTTGTAAATTGATAATTGGATCTTGGGCGTATAACAGCGATCACGTTCAATTGCAGTACTATGGAAATGCAAATAATACAATTGTTGTTAGTTAAACATTTTATTTAGGTGGTTTTTAGAAAAAGTTTCACATTTAATTTTGTTGGTTTAGAATAATCGGACTCCTGATGAAGTTTTGGAATGGCACATAACCGATTTCGAGCTTTTAATGAACACAAGAAATTTTTGTTGTGGAAATTCTTATCCGACTCTCGTAATTAATTTTACACTGAAAAGAATTACAACTTGCTATAAAAGTTTGATTTTATCTCCACTGATTGGTACATTTTTATTTTATTGCTAACAAAATGTTTAATTTTGTTATTTTTAGTTGTTATCATTTTATCTTTATTATCATTTTGGTTACCACCAAAATCAGAAGAAAAAATCCTGTTAAATGTTATCACAACCACCATTATAGTTGCTTTAATGCTGTATTTTACACTAAAATTACCAGCTATGGGCAATGATACGCCTTTAATCGGTAAATTAATTACGTTGGTATAATTATTTAATAATTATTTTAATTTTTTAGTTAAGTTTTACACATCCACGTTGATTATAACAACTTTATCAATGATTAATGCTGTGTTAATAATTTTTTTATCAACGACTCCACAGAAGTATCCAGTTCCTTCGATGCTGAGAAAGTTTTTAAACCATCATTTAGGAATTTATCTTGGTTTATCAAATTATATAAATCAAGATAAATCTAATTTGGATAACGAAAGAAATAAACCACCAGAAAATTTTTATTCAGGAAAATATCAAGATGATTGGATTTTATTAGCTTCAGTAATAAATCGAATTTTATTTTTAATTTATACAATCATCTTTATCGTTCTAATATCGAAATATATTCTTTAATATATTTAATTTTAAATAAGCCAATTTCTTTTGGATCCATTTATAATAATTTTTAATTATTAATACGAGAAAATCTTATAATGTAGACATAAATGTTTAAAAATAAAGTTATTTTTCTGTTCCCAATTCAAATTTGTTTCAATTCATACATAATTTGCATCGTTAAATGGCAATGAAACGACTATTAATAAAAATGGTAATGGAGATAACATGGTCTAAACCGGAAATGGAAGACTATTATCAAATAAAAACTGGTCTTTCATTTAGTACGAAGTGTTAGTAGTACGAACAACGAAACGGTCGAATAACAACATAATGAACATATCAAGTATGATCTCGTTTTTTGTATTTTTAATATTTTTGCATTTATCATCAACAGCTTTTATGACAACAAGTAAGTTTTATCAAAGTAGTAATTAAGTTGTTCATCAATGTTTTGTTTGAATAGAAATTGGGCCAAAACCACTTTGGAATGCGACATCTACCGATAAACTCCGTCAAGATCTGCTGTTAAATTACGATAAATTCGCTCGACCATCTCAACATACGAACGTAACGACCGTTAAATTTGAAGTCGATGTTAAACATGTAGAAGTTAATGAGTTTAAATCTACGATGACTTTGTTCGTTTGGGCAAAAATGGTAACAAAAAATTTTATTTCGTATTATTAAGTACCAAATCATTTTATTTTTATATTGTGTTCTAACTTATTTTCTAATTTAGCAGAGTTTTATTCGATTCGTTGTTGAGAGAAAAGGTTTCACTAAAAACATAATCCTTTTTACTAATATTTTGTTAACGTTGGACATAAAAATTTGTAACTATATGACATAATATAGAATTGATCAATAAGTCACCTATGCGAAGTTAGCCCCCAATTAGATAGGATTTTAGAATGAGGAGAATCAGTTAACCGATTTCGATAAACAATATCTCATTCGAAAGCATTCGAAACCAAGGATTATGGCCAATACGAAAGTGGAAATGCCCGATTCAAAATCTCTTTCGAATTCCGCTAAAACGCCAAAATAATGCAAACATACACGAAAATAACACAAAAATAGCTCTGTGAACCTGGAACCCGAGTTTACGATATTTTAGTTTTATTAGTACCATTCGATAGAGAATCGTTTGTACTTGTTTGTGCCACCTTTAATTTCGTTTGTACCTCAGGACCTAAAGAGATAAAAAAAATTTGAAACATTGCCGGAACCCCACTTTTTGTTATTCTAATTTTATTAATACCATTCGGTAGAGAATCGTTTGTACCCGTTTGTACCACTTTCGATTTCGATTGTATAAATCCATGTCGCAAGTTATATTATATTAGTTTATTATTATATAAAAAACGCCCCAAGCTGTAACTCTGTCATTTACATTCCGATTGTTATGAGCGGGGTATCAAACGAAATGGTTTCATGAATACTATGATTTATGCTACAAATAAATTTTTTCCAAGGCCATCTTCAATTTTAAGCGACTATTAACTTTTGCTTTTCAAATTGCTCTATATATTTTCTTTTACGTCATTGGATAGAGATTGTTTTTCTGAATCCACTGATATACAATACATCCATTTTGAATATAATTTTAGTAGAGAAAAGACACCTGTATACACAGGTTGCCACACAAGAACGCCGCTAGCTGTACCTCTGTCACTTACCTTCCAATTTTCATGACCTAGCTATCAAATGAAATGGTTTAATGAATACTATGATTCATGCTACAAATAAACTTTTTCCAACGCCATCTTCAATTTCTAGCGATTATCAACATTTGATTTTCAAATTGCTCGGTATGTTTTTCTTCACGCTATTGGATAGAGTTTTTTTTTGAATCCATTAATGTACAATACATCAACATTAATTGTAATAGTAGCATAGAAAAACATTAAAATAGTTCCTGAACATTCTCTTAAAGTCACTTGTATTATACTGTAGTGTGACACTGGATAAATGAGAAAACCACTTATAAGTATCATTTACAACTGCTTCGGGCATTGACATAGCATTTAATGACTGTTATCAGTTTTGCGTGTTATTTTCTTCCATGACACACTGCAGTATTACAGACAATGTTCGGAAAATGTTTTAATTGTTTTTCTCTGCTAAAATTACAATTAATGTTAATGTATTGTGCATCAATGGGTCCAGAAAAAAAAATCTCTATCCAATAACGTGAAAAAAAATATACCGCGCATTTTGAAAATCAAAAGTTGATAATCGTTTGAAATGGAAGATGGCGTTGGAAAAAGTTTATTTGTAGCATGAATCATAGCATTCATCAAACCATTTCATTTGATACCTCGTTTATAAAAATCGGAAGTTAAGAGGATAACCTATTAGCAAAAACAACGAATACCATTTTATTCAGCCATCGTTTAAAATTTTTGTATGTTTGTTACATCAAAATTTCTATTTTTTTATATAGTTTTTAGTGATGCATTTAGTTTTTTCAAAAAATGTCGCGTAACGTTTCTNAAATGTTTAGAAAAAATCCAGTTTAAACCCTTTCTCGCATTTATGTAACAATTTCGTGTTATCGAAGTCGATAATATGACCAGTTAATTGACTGTGTTTGAATATGTTAGAATTCGTTTTTATTTTATGCTCCTGTAGTCTCTATCGAATGGTACTAATAAAACCAAAATATCGTAAACTCGAGTTTCAGGTTCACAGAGCTCAGAAAAATTACCTTTTTTAAGTGGTGATAACTCGTAAACGATGTACCCGATGATCAAGATCTATACGTCATTCGGTTCGTCATAGTTTCTTCTATCGAAATCACGAAAAGCCCGATTTAAATTCTTTCCCGTTAACCTTGTACAGCCCTCGGAATGACACCTTGTTCGGCTCGTTGTTTATGCACGTATGAACGCCCGAAAGTCTAGCCCCCAATATAAAAAAATTAATTTAAACTAAGTTGACTATAGTTAGAGAATGGTTTGACGGATTTTAATGTTGTATACCTCAATCGAAAGTTTGTGTCTGGCTGAACAATTATGTCGAAATGCCCGATTCTAAATATTTATGGATTTTAATTAAAACACAAAAAACGAATGATTCAAACACATCAATTATCTCCTTAACTAATTGACCAATTTTAGTCATCAACATCTCGATCGAAAGTATGATCTACAATGAATGCGGAGGTGGAAATGCCCAATTTCAAAAATTACTAATTACCTGCGTACGGCTATTGAAATGACCCCGCGAATCTGCCGACTGGAAGTCTAGCCCCCAATATGAGAAAATTAATTTAAGATAAATCGTCTGTAATTAGGGAACGGTTTGACGGATTTGAATGGTTTATATCTCAATCGATAGCTTTCGCCTCGCTGAATGCGGTTGTCGAAATGATCGTTTCGAAATATTTAAGTATTTTGAATAAAACACAAAAAATTAATTAATCAAATAAGCCAATTATCTCGTTTGTTAATTGACCAATTTTAGTCATCAACATCTCGATCGAAAGTATGATCTACAATGAATGCGAAGGCGGAAATGCCCGATTTCAAAATTTACTAATTACCTACGTACGGTTATTTAAATGACTCCAATTATCTACCGACCGGAAGTCTAGCCCCCAATAAGAAAAAATGAGTTTAAATAAATTCGTTATAACTAAAGAACGGTTTTACTGATTTTAATGTTTTATATCTCAAACGAAAGCTTGCGTCTGTCTGAATAATTATGTCGAACTGCTCGATTCGAAATATTTAAGGATTTTGATTAAAATACAAAAAACTACTTAATCAAATAAGTTAATTATCTCCTTTATTAATTGCCCGATCTCTAAATTTGCTAATTAAGTACGTACCATTTAAACATACAATTAACAATCAAAATATTAGAAAACGCAATATTAAAAAACGCAGTAGTTCACCAAAACCTCTTAATAAGGAAATAAACCATACAAAAAGTAATAAAAATATAAACTATTATAATCCTTCTGAAAATATCCACAATAGCTCTATATCTAATAATAATGTAAATCTAAATGTAAGGGAACAAGGGGATGCTAATAGTTACAATAAATTTAACGGCCAAAATAGCGAAAACACATACAACACCAATAATAACAAATCCAAAACATCATTTTGCATAAAAAGAATTAATTTTAACAGCCTTATGTTGAAAATTGATCTGAGTGATATTACTAAATACAAATTTGCCCCTAGATTTACCAACCTTTCTAAATATAAACTCTCGAAGGAAGAGGATAATATTTTTAAATTAGGACATAAAATGTCAATTCTTTCTAAAATAAAACCCGTAGATTTGGCCATAAAACTAGAAACACAGCTAAGACACTCCCTAGATATTAAAGATATATTTCAAGATAATCACAACCTGATCAAAAGACTTAATAAACAACCCACACCTAAGAATAAATATAAAAAACCTAACACCTTTCCTTCCGATATTTCCGTCGGAAGGAAATATTTCGTCCTATTTCAAATCTGAGAAAAGCTATAGAAAGAGAAAACCTCACCATTAGACTTGGCGATAAGAATGCCGGAATAGTTATATTGGATAAAGTTAATTATATTAATAAAACACTTCACTTTTTTAAGAATAATAATATAAGAAAGTTAAAAGAAGACCCAGGATAAATACCCAAACAGTACCTATGTATAAAAATAATACAAGTAAAAATATAACAGATTCGGAAAAAAACGAGAGCAAGATGATGAAATAGACATTGAAGACGAGGAATTACGTAGGTATTTGCCATCAATGTTTATGCTTTTTGGGTCCAATTCAATTGTTTAAATGCTCTCACCAGGATTGTGATGAACAATTTGGGTTCAACACTGTATCACCTTATCTTACCTCACGACCAATGCTACTTTTATGCAATTTTACCGTCATTGTAGCATTCTTGTAAATACTATAAATATGTTTGGTGTATCGATAATCAACTCTGCATTCTTGAAGTGGTTGCAAAACTGCCATCAACTCAATTTGAATAAAATTTTATAGATACCTCTAAATACCCATCTTGGGTACCCCAGGTATATATCCAGGGAATTTTCCCTTGAAAATAAATACCCGGGTATTTAACAACACTGTATACAACTGAACTACTTTAATATAACTCCTTATAACTCAAATGTCATGAA